TGAAGTCGAAGCTCGTCTGAGCCGAGCATCTCCTCACGCAAAGGTCCTCGAACATACTCCGTGAAAGCCTCAGTACTGCCATACCACTCCCTGATAGCTGAGTAGATGAACTCCTGGTCGAAGTCCGTGCGGCATGAAGCCTCTTACTGGCGATTACCATATACAGGGAACGAAGTACCCCAACAGGGTTAAGGGTTGCCTACTCCACTACTGAGGCCCCTGAGGCCCCTTAGGCCCCTAAGCCCGAAACTCTGAAACCCTGAGCCTGCGTCAGGTCAAAGCCTTTCAGCTCGGAGATCAGGCGATGCTTCGCCCGGGTGTTCACGCGCATGACGTGCATCAGCACGTAGACGGGGACCAGCCTGCAATGACAAACCTTCTAAACCTTTGCAGGGCTCCACCACCAAAAACTGACAAACAAACAGAAGAATGAAGCTTATTTATTAATACCTCTGTTGAGAGAGAGAGAGAGATATATATATATATATATAATACAAATACACACACACACTCACACATTCACTGCAACACATATAAATAGATGGTCACCCCCCGCATGACAGACCACCCCCTTGAAAACCCGGCCTTGCTTCCGGCTGGCTCTAACCACTCAGCCGGAGACAATATAGGGTTTAGGGCTTAGGGTCTAGGGTTTAGGGTATGGGGTTTCCCCACCAAAAACAACAAAGATCCGCAGAGAATGCCGGAACTGCATTGATAGTTGTGCGTCTTGGTTACACTGTATTCGTACGGCTTCAAACCCGTAGCCTGACACCAAAAACAAGGATCCTGGCAGAATGCCAGAACTTCTTGTTTTGGGGGGAGGGGTTGGTGCTCCGGTTACTATGGGTAATTGGCACTGAACAAGAAATGCCTGTAACACCACAGCCAAATACCAAAGAAACAAGACAACACAAATCAAAAATATCAAAAACCAAACAGTTCCGGCATAATCTCTAGATATTTTTGTTTGTTGTTTGTCTCGTCCTTCATCTTTGGTGTTGCACGCCTGCGCTCTTTGACGGAGATCCCCATACCCAAGGCCTGAACCTAAAACCCTGTACTAAAGCATCAATACAGTTCCTTTAGGATTTAACAACTTCTGGTTTATGTAAGTTTGCTCTACAGTTTTTGTCAACATGTTTCTGAATATTCAAGTACCAGCAATCGTTTCAAACCAAGCTAGTTCATTCAGTGCTTGTGCTTGCACATGCCCATATGTGCAACCAGGTTTACTAAGGCTCACACATGAGGTGCAACTGCAACAGGCCTTGCAGAAGTATCAATCATCAACCATATAGTTTGAATAAGCCATATCGGTGATTGAGTGATTTGGTTCTTCCGCTTACGACTACAAGCCTATCCAATCCCCACTTCCAGCGTCAGTCATACCTAATTACGAGTACCTTTTTTATGCACAAAGTACTGTATCGTAAATATCGAGTGTAGTCAGTGTAGTTTTACTACTACATTCAGCAATGTTGTAGTTACCACCACCATTGCCGATATATTCATTGTTCCTATATAATTACATTTTTCTCGCAAGTGTCGTACGCAAGATTGCTTAAAAGATTGTTTAAAGGCCAACACAAGAGACAACATCTAGCTCGACCAGCGAAGGAATGGGCATAACTTACTGTAACTGATGCACAGACTTAAGACGAACTAAACTCAGAACAACCATGTAAGGTTTGTTCGGTATAGGTACAAGTATCAGCAACCAACCTGCTGAATACAACGCTTAACATGTACCATCCTCCAGATTCAATGTACTACCGGATTAGCCAATCACTCCATTATGAACATTCAGTGACTAAGACTCGGTAGTTAATTACATACTAACCAGAAAATGAAAAACATAGGATTCAACAAGTGCTACAGGTGCCTGGTAATGTTTGGATGGCCTGAAATATTGTGAATACCACTTGTTGAACAAGGCACCAATTACACAGAACATAAGCTACAATTGTGTTGTGAACTGCTGCTATTCCGGAAAGCGTCGGCGCCGGGTTCTTCATCGGAGGTTCGTCGGTTAGTACAGACTCCTCTAGCTTTTTATGTGCATTTCGTACTGTCGTACTTGAACTTGATTACATAATTGATTTTAGAGCGCAATGCTTATGTCTGACACGAGTCAATTAAAGCGAGATCGGGTGAGGTTGAAGTTTCAAAAATTACCGGTGGCAGCGAGGTTTGAGGCATTTTGGGGGTCCAACACATGGCTTGCACCTTGTTTTCCACAAGGATTTCTGCATTCTGTATCAAGATCCCTTGTAAAACACGATGTGTCGTGGAGGTGCGGTTAATGGCACTGTGGCGCCGTTGCTCCTTTGCTTTGGCACAGGCTTTTTCTGTATACTGCTTTAAGTGTACGGGCGTGACGTAGCAACTTTCGAATAGTTCGAATTCATAGCGAAGTCTTCAATTGCAGACAAAGAGGAAAGCTCTGTGCTTCATAACCAGACTAAACCAATCAGTGAATTGGTCTTCCCATAGTAACGTCTTCACGCAAAGACTACAAAACTATGTTTGTGTTGGACAAAAGGGAGAAGTTCATCAAACATTGTGTGGCAATCATTTTGCACAAAGGTTTGACACATGTATAGTTACCGTCTCCATTGACTTCAAATGCGAATTTCCTAATTGTAAGTTTGGTCACGTCTATATTGTCCCTGCAATGGTCTGTCGCCGGTCAGGGTGAGCTATGTATGAATGCATATATACACATATATACACACACACATATATATATATATATATACATACATATATATATATATATATGTATACGACTTTGAGGTCGAACGTCCAGAAAAAAGTCCTATAGCTCTTACTTTCGGCTACTCGAAGCCTCAAGGGACAAGCAATACTGCCTTTCGAGGACTAGACTGGGAAAGCGCCAGTAAAGTTGGGCTGTTACCCCCAAAAGTAACTCCAATACCTCCAGTCGCCGCTTGACGAACCAAAACCCAAACAAGTAACTGCACCTGAGGACAAAGAACCCGAATTGCGAGCGTCATGGTTTGAACGAGAGCATAACAAGAACCCTTTCGCTTCCATCTTAGAACCGAGACTTTGTGATACATGTTTGGCTCCAAGGTTAAAAAAACCACTAATCATGTCTACAAATCCCAAAACCCTAAACCCTAAATCCAGGGTCGAAAGACGCGATGGCAAAGGCCACGGGTCGCAAAGCCAGAGCCAGCCTTGCCTCGAGACGATAAGGATCAAGATAGATAGGGGCCCTTGAAGTGCGCCTTTTAAAGGGGTCTACAAGGGATACTATAAGGGTACAATAAGGGTGTAATATGAAGTGCACCTGTAAAGGGGTCTAAGGGGATACTATAAGGGTACTAGAAGGGTTTAGTACGAGGACCTTAACCATCAGAAGAGGCCCTGTGCTACAGGGTTTAGGGTAGCTCTGGAGCTTAGACTGTAGGGATCAGGCTTTTTAAACGGGGGATCAAGGAGCATCAATCTCAGGGTACAATCATTAATCTCAAGGAACTATCAGGTTACGTGCAGTATCGTTGTGTGATATATATATATATATACACACACACACGTATATATATATATATATATATTACATATCCCTGTACATTCAACACATTTCTAAAGAGGTCGGGCTACATTTGTCAGAGACTTGGAGGTCTTGTCGAGCCCGACCTCAGAATTCTGAAATCCAGCCCCGGCAAGCCCCACCTTACTTGGACAGTATCCCAGAGGAAACGAAACTTTCCACTTTTGGGAACATATACGTAGGGATTTCTCGTCTTACACCGAAAAAGCTCAAGGTTGCCCTAAACCCCCACAAATCGAGGACCAAGGCGCCGCGAACACCGCGAAGAAGAGGAATGCCGCGAAGTATGAGCCCAGAATTAAGGAGAGGAGTCCAACCTCAGGCTGCTCCAAGCTTAGCTATGCTAGGGCTGCTAGGGGGCTCTGGGCACCTAGGACTTGGTGGGGTTGAGGCTTAGGGGTTTAGGGTTTAGGGGCGTGGTTAGCAGTTGATTCAAGTTGCAGGGAGTGGTGCTACGTGTCTGATGGGCACCGTAAGCTTTCCAGCCCTACACCCTAAGCCCCGACATTCGACCTTAGAGGCTTGGGGGAAGCACACCCTTGAGCCAGCTGACCCCGCTTATTCGACCCACAGACCGTAAAACCCCAGCCGCCCAGCCTCGATAAACACGGGAGTCAGGCGAATGCGACCGGTCGGATTCGCGTGCCGGTAGGCAGCCAGTTCGAAGACGCACCAAAGCCTTCCACTAGTTGTCCCTAGGGCCCCAGTTTCAAGTTAGCTACAGATTATGCAACTCAGCAATTCATTATTTCGCCTCCCACGGAGCTTTAGGCTTTCGGGTTTAAGAGTTTTGGGGTTCTGGCAAAGAGGGATGCAGACCTCGGGTTCCCCGCCTGACGCAACGACCGAAGGGCCCGAAGGCATACAGTAGCGGTATGTCGGGAAGATCGAACAGGGTTCAAACGTTTTTTCTCGCCCGCTTCGCCAGGGATTCATTCACAACCGACTAGAGGGTTTAAGGTTTAGGGGGTTTGTGGCCACTAACTGCATAGCTTTCGCACTTTCATACTGTGGCTTCCCACCCCCATCTGAGCCTTAGAATCAGCCGAAATCAAGAATCTCAAAAATCAAAACAATCATGGGAGTCACAGCTTCTGATAATCTCAGGAATGCGAAACAAAGAGCATTAGCAACTGTAACAGCAAAGCGTATGACAGCAAAAACGCAAGCCAGTATGTTGGAACAAAACACTAAGAATAATTAACCATCTTTGCAAAGGTATAGCTACAGACTGGAGTAGTTGCTTGTGGGCGCAACAACAGTAGTAAGACTGACAAGACCGCTAAGCCCTATAAGCTTTTTTAACCCAAGGAACCGTTGTTTTTGGCAGCTGCGCTCTGACTGTCGGCCGGCGACCTAAACCATGAACAGAACCCTTGTAAAATCCCTTAAACAACCCCTCAACCCCGCTTAAATCCCAAGGCCCTGGACTGGCTAGACCGTAAACCCTAAAACCCTGGGGTTTAAGGGTGTAGAGCCCTGGGCCTGGATAGGTACGGCTCGGACCAGAGGACTCTGAGCTCTTTGGACATCCGCAGAAATCCGCCCAAGCCGTATATGCCGCGCTCCATGAGTTCCCTGTCGACCTCGTGGCTCCGATATGGTTTCTTCAAAAACAGTCTTCAGGGATTCGGTGGTACATTTGTGTTGCATGAGTCCCTTCTTTGGGTCTCCTCTGATATTCGTCAGGGGCTGACCGATTCAGCGCTGAGCCAGGGCTGTGTAGGGTTTAAGGTTACTCAACTTACTCAAAACCAGGACATGAGGCTTGATGGATGCTGACCACGTCCAGAAAGCAAATGGTCCTGTCGCAGCCATCCAGGAAATACCTGTTTGGGGTTCGGGCGCTCCGCGGAAGAGCAAAGGGCTATCTTTAGGAAGTTGGGTTTTGGGGTTTCGGATTTCGGGGCTCGGAGTCTCGAGGACGCGGGGTCTGGGAGTTAATTTTCAGGTTACCAAGAGAGGCAGTTTGCGAGTCTGGCTACCAGCTTTTGCTGTTGGTTCACAGCATGCACGTAGGAAATGAGCAGAAGCCTTCATGTGTTCGACGATGCATGGCCAAGTGAAATGAGACATGAAGTTAGCATTCAATTACGCTCAAGATGCTACCTTTTCCTACAAATGCCTCAAGAGCCCTTCGAGAAGGCGTCGTAACACCGACATGTACACACCCTTTGCACAATCCGTCATTCAAACTAAGCAAGAAAACGGCACGCAAGAGAGCTATACATGTAAAAACTGAGGAAATATTCTCAGCTGTCTTACTGGTTGATGCGTGCCAAGGGCTCATGTGTCCCACGCATGCTTAAGATTGAAATTTCTCACCTATCCAATGCGTCCTACCAGGTTGCAATTTTCGGTAGCTACTAGCTCACAATTCCACAGGTCTCTCTGTACGAGTATGCTGTACAAATGTGGCGCGACTCGGATCTGGGAGCTGGACATACGCATCCTCCATGAGACGGAAGAGCTGGTGGGGCTACATACTTTTTCGTGAGTGCATCCGCCACCCGCGTTGCCCTGTCTGTTCAGCGTAGCTTGTCTCCGTGAGGAAAATAGAGTTGCGATGTCGCAAATCTCTCCTTCCCACAGCTGCTCCCGCATAGCCATGAGCTCGATCATCAACCTCTTGTCGGCCACTTTGTTGATCTGAGGGCTGTTGAGGTGGTCACTCAGTCTCCTTCAGTCGGTGACCCACAAATGCAGCATCCGCTTTTGGGTCTCCTCAAGCCAACCCTTGAAGCTAGGCAGCTGCCCACGAAGTTCACAGATGATCGCCCTCAATCTGTCTCCGCTCTCGACTGCAATCTGCATCACGAAGGTTTCCGATGCTGGCGTTCTGCGACACACACGCTTGATCGGAGTCCAGCCGTAACTCAGCACGTGAGCTACTCGTGGTTGTCGTCGTTTGCCTTGCTCTCCGAGGTCACATAGTGCAGCCGGGCATGCGCTGCTGATTGCGAAAGCCCGGGCTCCTGGGCAAACGATGCGTCCGAGAATGTCACGACGCAAATGTCGGTCCAGTCCAGCGATCCCGCCGGATAGAACAACGACCTACCCTGGCCCGCCTGCGCGAGACCAGCGACCCTGTTAGCCTCCTGGGGTCTGCGACCGTCGCCGTTGCACAAGCTCTGTGCAGACTGTTGACACGATAGCATAGATCTGGTCTGGCAAATCGCGCAATCCATGCTAATGACCCCACGACACTCCTAAGGCTCTTCGCCTCGGAACTCAACCTGTTGTGGAATCCGCGTCCTGCGTCGATGGTTCCGTGAATCGGAAGTCTGCATAACAACACGGCGTCGGGAACACCCGGGAGTCCACCTGACTGCCTCATCAACAGCACCCTCTCAAAAGAAGCGGACTGACAGTAAGCACTGGATATATATCTCACCGCCGTGCAAATTCAATAGTCTCGATGCAGCGTAACTTGCACTGAGGCCCATGCAATAAACCTCAGCATCAGCAGTGGGACTATCAAAAAGCCATTCATGTCGCTTCACCTGTTCCAGGTGACCACATGCCACAAGTCGGCTGAGGTACTTCGGCTTGTGCCCTTCGCTCATCCAGTGGCTTGGAATCGGCCGGTGGCCCTCATTGAGCAACGCTGCAGCATTTCCCCTCTGATAGGAATTGCCGCGCGGTAGTTTTTGTACTTTCCCCACTCGTCCTTGCGAGCTCCACTCGAATAAAAATCATCGTTATTATTCTTCTCTTTCCTCTTGCGACGTTTCTCCTGCTGTTCATAGGCCACTAGGAACTCCCAGTTTGTGATAATCTGCAGGGTTTCCATTCTTCGCCACTGCGAGCGTTGCAGAATAAACCTTGTTCCGGAACCTCAGGCCTGCTACTGTCATACCTGATCTCCTTCCCGAAAGGTCTACGATGGTCTACGTGCTAGACGAACCTGCCTTGCACTCTGCTTTGCTGACGTTGCCTCGATCTTACGAATCGCGGGCTTGTCACACTTGCTCCACTCCCAAACCAACCAAATCCAAAGGCCACTTGGAACTGCATCCTGCGCTAGGAGGGGCACAGCTCCGCTACCAATCAGCGTTCAATGGCGCTAAGGATGCTACCTTTCCCTGCAAATGACTCGATTGGGCCCTTCGAGAAGTCGTAGCAACGGACACGTATACACAAGTTCCTGCACAATCCGCCACCCAAACTGCACAAGACAAAGGCACGCACTCAAGCTATACATATAAACACCGAGGAGATATTCTCATGAATCAAACTGAAGAAGTCAGGGCCACCCTAAAACTCCAAACCTGAGGCCAAGCTGCGGCGACAGAAACAGGCCGAAGAGGGTCCCGAGCAATCCGGCCACAGAGGGCCAGGGAGAATATGGGCACTCCTCGCTGAAACGCGGGTGTGATGCGAGGAAAGTGAAGGGCATTTTGATCACCTGGTTCAGGCACAGCGTCACCTGAGCTGAGGTCACGGTCTCAGGTTTCTGAGGTTGGGGTTTAGGCTCCAGGCTTGAGGCGTAGTGCTTCTACGGTTGCTTGTTGGCAACCATCCCAGCAGCTTTGAAACGAGAAGACAGGGGCCCACGAGGAGCATAAACTTAAAATGCTTAGTTGACAAACAACATGCTTACATACCTACACACATCACAAGAACCAGCAATGAAGTGCTGGGTTATGCATTCGCCAGCCCTAAACTCCTATATAGACCCTAAGCACTGGCAACCCTGAACCCCCTAAGCTTCCATCCACGAAAAACTCCCGCAACCCTCAGCCCCCAGTGCGTGACTCCACCCGGAACCCATACTCCAAACACTTAATGTGGGGGCCTTAAAAATCGAAATAAGGTTTTGGGGGTAATTATTGAGGCTTCTATGCTGCACCATCAAACCTAGTCAAACCCTACATGAAACCCTTGTCAGGATCCTAAACGCGCGAAAAGAAGCTTTAAACAGACCCTATAAACCCTATAAGCCCTAAACATCCAACCGCAAGTTTTCCTTTGCCGGTCTGCCGTGGTTGCCACGCAGACGACCGTGCAAAGCAGCGTGAACCCGAGCCCAGACTGGAAGAGCAGAGACAGCACTTTCCACCTTTAAGGGTTTAGGGTTTAGGGCTCTTCCAGGGTTCCTGTAAGGGTAGCTACCGGGCGCTTTTTGCTCGTTTCTTTTAGGGCTGCAGTGGTTCAGGGATTCAGGTGTAGGAGGGTTTCATGATCAGGGTTCTGTGGCTCACGAAGGGTTCATGAAAGGTGGCTTGCAAACGTGGTGTTGGGCACTTGACTTAGTACCTAGCATTGTTGAAGTTGTAGTCTTTTCGGATACCAGCAAGCCCTGAACCGTCAGCAGCCGGAGACGGGCAGGGATCAACTTAGCCGCACCTTCCAGCCGTGCGCCACGTGTGCGAGAGGAAGATGTCAAAGGCCTCAGAGTCTTCCGCTCGAGCTTCCAAGCATTTCTATTTGGGTTCAGTTTGCGTCTAGAGTCTAGAGTCTATGTCTATGTAGAGAAGTAGAGGTTTGGGTTCAACTACGGGCATGTCTCAACGAAACAGCACAGGTTGGATTGGTGGATCTCAAGTCTTGTCAGTTCGGCCGTAATGTACATGCTGCTCCGGGCTGCCGGACCCCTGGACCCCAGAAGCCTACAAACCGCAAGTGCAAATCTCGCCCAAGTCCATTGCCACTCGCACAACGCTTCTGGGAAATCCACCCTAAACCCTCCCCCCCCCCCATCAGAGTTCCAAACTCACAATCTTGAAGCACAACAACCGACCATAGGGCTTCTTTTCTGTAGCTGAAAGATGTTCAAGCTCTGGACCACTTACACCTTCCCTCTTCAGTTGCTGAGGCCGTACAAGTAACACAGGGGCCTTAATAGTTTCCAATACATTTCTTGGGTATGTTCTAATACACCTATTTCGGCCCATAAGGGATGGAACTGATTGTTGAGACCCCTCTGCGGGATTCAGCCTCAGCCTTAAGTCGCATTCCCGCCAGAAAGCCTCCACCGGCTCAGAACGATCCCAAAGGCTCGCACGATCCTGTGCGGCTTGGGGGGAGCTTATGACTTGCAGACGTACACAGAATCAGATACACACACACACACACGCACACGCACTCACTCACTCATCCAATCACTCACTCGCACGTGCACTCTCTCTCTCTCTCTGTCTCTTGCTCGCTTTCTCCTGCTCTCTCTGACTCCGTCTCTCTTCGATTCTCACTCTTGCTCGCAGTTGTCAACGGTATTGCCTCTTCTTCTCTTATCCTTGATATCAACAGGGGTCAGCGCCGTATGTAATCCGGTGATACATATCAATGTTGATCGATTTGTCCATACCAACTCATCTGTCAACTTAGCAGTGTGCAACTCAGCCCGTCCTCTTCAGCCAGGTCGATGGGGGACTGGCGCCAGAGTCTTCCAAAGTTCCGCAAAGTTGCGCGGAGGGAGACGCCACGCAGGATTTCTGTATCCACCTTCGGTCGAGGTCTTGATGTTACTTCGGTGGTGCATCGTTTCTTTGTGAGCGCCCTTTGCTTACGGTTCTTGACTTGCAGTGCCTCAGTGTATAGTTGACTGAACAACTAGAAATTTAGCGATTGGTACGTAGAATGAAGTTTCAGGCTAAGGTTCAAGACCTTTCAGCACGGCCGACAGCTTTTTTTTCTGGAAGGTGCCACCGAGATGACCATAATTAGTTAGTTCTGGGCCTTCTGTCTATGTTGCTTCTCGAGGAAGTGAGACATGCTCTATTGCTGTGATTCGGCGCAACCAGCTTTGTGAGTGGTGGTGCTCTGCACTGCTCCACTGACGTTACCAGATGCTCGCAGCTAACTACCCCTTGTTTTCGTGCCCAGACTCTGCCAATCAGCTGCTCTAAATCCTAAACCCTAAATGCTGCCTCGAAAGACTCCAAAGCCTTGAAGGATCTCCAAAGGAGACGTGTAAGCTTTGGGGCTCCAGGGTTTTGGGTTACGGGCCGTTTAGCAGTTGACGGTTTAAAAGATTTTGGGTCTAAAATGATTCTGGAACATTGGAACTTCGCACAGAAGCTCCCTTGGCCGAAGTCTTTCTTCAGATCAGCCAGCTAGGAATTCTGCGACGTCACCAACATGTCTGCACGGAGCTAAGCTGATAGTGTTGCCACTTGGGGTCTGAAATTTGATCATGTAGAACCCTCAACCCGAATCCTACAGCTCACCTCCAAATGGCTCATTTTCTCCATTCGGCTCCACTTACTTGGCGTTCTCGTTCCGTTTTCGGCTGTGGTGGCGGCAGTGACGGCAGCATCCGGACACGGGTCACCGTCTTCTTCGGCTTTCGGGACCTCGCTGCTAAATCAGCAACAACAGCCACCACCACCAACCGCAACAATAAATACAGCTGTGGCTCCTGTTACTTACTGACTGCTACTGCTGCCGCTGCCGCTGCGGCGTCGATCCCCCAAGCTTTAGACGAACAATCAAAGCACCAACCTCTTCGCTTGAACCAAAGAAGCTGATGTGGTTGACGAGTCCATGCTCTCGCCATAGGCGACCGCTTCGAGGACCTCTTTGGGTACCTCGGGCCCTTCGTCTGCGCAGCAGCTCGGCTGCTGGCCCATTTTCGAAGTAAAGGTCAACCTAGTGGAGCTAGCTGCCTTATTCATTCGAGTAGAACAGGGTTTGGGGGTTCAGTATCCTATGCAAGTACATTAAGGACGATATCTGAAGACTTTAGGGGTATACTCCGACACCTACATCACGTGATTCTGGATCCAGGCCCTTTGGCAACGGCCCTTCTGCGACATCACTCTTCATGAACCCGAAACCGGAAACTCTTGAACGGTTCAGGGTTAATTCCTGTTCGTTTCAACCTTGACTCTCTTCGCGCTAAACGTGCCAGACTGTAAAGTTATAGCGCGGGTGCCAGAGCCAGACTTAAGTTTGACTCTGGCGAGCATCGTTTGAGCAGACCTCCTAGCAATTTCAGCAAGATTTGTGAGGCTTCAATTTGGGGCTTAGAGGGATGTAGGATTTAGAGCTCCAGGTTCCGAGCTTTAAGGGGTAATGTTCAGCAGCACAAGGAACCTCTTGGAGGTTTGTGCCGTGCGGCTGCAGATCAGAAAGCAGGCAGCCAGTGCAAACATTCGACCTCAGGTGGACTAACGAGAGCATGCATGCATGTTTATACAGTAAACATCACTAGCGTTGGTGTGAGATCACAGATGCTCAATAAAGAATGCGTGCAGCTCAACCTAGCTCATCCGGCATCGCTACTGGCCCCCAAACGTACAATGCAAGGAATTCGTGTCACACGTGTCACGCCGCCAAAGTGTCTTGGCCACCCAAGTTAGCCAAACCAAATGCCAAGATCAGACTGCCTGTCAATTGAGTCTCGCGAGCGCTGTATTCGGGCTATGAGATTCAAGTCTTCCGCTTCAGAACCCTGGGGTTCGGGATCCTGCCTTAAGGATGGATGCCTGCGAAATGCTACTCATGCAACTGCATGCGTAGGGTGTGTGCAAGGTATCTGCATGCCGGCATCCTAGACCGCGTCCTCCGGCCCAGAATGCGACGTGCAGTGGCCTTACTATATCAGGTCCGGCAGTACAACGAAGTCCAATGCCTTTGTGAGATATCCCCCGCTTTCAACGCAGCTTTTCTCCTCTGTGCAATGCTTGACATCATCCACCAGGGTAGTTGTTTGAATATCAGCGGCTTGCGCTAAGAGAGGCAAGCATCTGCCTACTGTCTCTATCTGTCTCGTTCTTTCTCCCCCTTTCTTGCTCTGAAAATGCTGTTTTCACTGTAGTACATGTTTGAACTCAAAACTTATCGCATCGTCCAGGATGCACATACACAGACACAAACAAACACACATACACACACGCATAGAAAACAATAAGTTTCCAATATAATATACTATGCTTGTATCTGGACGTGACCATCTGTACGCACTTGGGTGTGTGAGTGCCTACAGCTTAACATCTGCGGAGAGAAATAGAAAGGGATGGAGAGAGAGAGAGAGAGAGAGAGAGAGAGATCGAGAGATTTCCTTCAGTTTGCGATCCCGTGTTTGGGGTCCTTCTAATACGGCCCTGTGTGTTTTTAGGGGTGGGGGGTTTGGGGGGGTTATATGCTTATAACCCCCACTAAGGTACTTGGAGCCCTACTTACTAAGTCCCACCCTAAACCCTGCCTAGACCCTTAACTTACTAAGTCCCACCCTGAACCCTGCCTAGACCCTTAAAACCAAAACTAGGTAAAATAACGACCCCAAAACCTCTAAAAAGCTGCTATTTCACATGCAATTTTTTTTGGGGGTCCAGGTAGACCCTGAGTCGGGGCGTTGTAGCACAGGGCAGCGCCGAACTACCCAGGTCCGTAGAATGCCGTGAGACGGCTCAGGAGCTCACAGCCGCCGAAGCAGCAAACCCAACAGAGAAGCCTTCTCGTTGAGGGCTTAGGGCTTTAGGGTTTTAGGGTTTAGGGTTTCGGGTTTTAGGTTTTAGGCTTTAGGGTTTATGATAGGGTTTATAGGGTTTCTTAGGGTTTAGGGTTTTAGGGTGTAGGGTTTGTAATACGGTTTATGGGGTTCCTTAGGGCTTAGGGTTTTAGGGTTTCGGTTTAGGGTTTCGGGTGTTAGGGTTTAGGCGGCTTACCTTACCTACGGTCTCGATTGTAGTTCTTGTTGTTGGTGGATCTTAGATGGGCAACCTCCAAAAACGAACTGCAATGGAGACGATAGGTGGGCGTCGGATTCAGGGTTTGGGATTTAGGGCTTAGGGATCTAGAAGCTTCTGGGTCTTCGGGCTGAAGGAGGCTTTAGGGTTTTTGTGTTTTGGGTTTTTGCCGGCTTTTCGGGGTGAGGTCTGGGGGTCGAGAGTCTGGGGCTTCTAGAGATTTGCAAGTGCCGAAGTTTAGAGAGGCCTGGGCTTCGGGTTTAGAGTTTGTTTCCCTCCCACTTAGCAAGGACGAGCCCGCATTGCAGGGATAGGTCAGAGCTGTAGCGTTGTGCACGTTTCGGGTTTTTAGGGTTTAGGGTTTCGGGGCTACTCTGGACTGACTTCAAGCATTGCTCAGTGATTTGCCGCCTTGTGAGACGTAAGCACTTATATAAAACCAAACAAAAGCAGCCCACGCTCTAAACTCGAAAAACCTACTTCATTCTCCATTTCCATATCGCCAGGGCGCATCGAAAAGAGCAGCCAAGCGCAACAAGCCCATACACCAACATGGGTGGCTGCCGTCGCAGTGGCATCGCCTTTCAGATTGCCCGTGCTACGGTGCATGCCAGAACGAAAACTAGAAATCTGTAAGTCTTGGTATGCGGACCATGTGTGCAGAACCCTAGTAGTCTCCCAGATCCCATCTCACCTCCATAGTACAGGGCGAAGAAGCACAAGAAAATAAGACCAGTCCTTAGCCAAAGACTCGGCGCGTTGACGTGTCGGAGCTTTTTGGGCCGAGCTTGATGATGTTGAATTTTCGCAAGGGTGGCTAGAACCACTCCAAACTCTTCCGCGATCCGTCCTAACGCAGAAGGCCACTTGGGCTTAGTATGCTCAATTCCTCGGTGGCTTTGGCATGCTTCCTTTACCTGCCGAGCCTTCAGCCCCGAGACAGCGACTCATTGCGTGATTGCATGGAGCTGGTGCGTTAGCTGGTTTAGTTTTTGGTTGCACAACATTGTTGGTGTGTTTGCAGGGTTTCGGGCAACGCTCAACCGTGATATCCTTCGGATTACAAGGATGGTGGCACAAAGTGAATGATTCTGCGCTATACTAGTTATATCCACTCGCAATCACAGCGACACATGGGAGTTTGAGAAATCATGTGATCCCATTTTTAAGTTGTCGGATTCTTCATATGGGGACCCCCGCATATGCCCCGACCCAATCATACCCCATTGGGCCTATTGCACGCTCAAGAACCGTTATATGAAGACTCTGAAATTTCTCGAGAGA